ATTCTCTTTAATGATTTTACAATGTAGCTCAGCTGTTTAATTTTTGAGTGATAACTGTCCCTTCAGTCAATGGAATTTATGTTCCAGAGGGCAAAGTGTTTGATGATCTCATTCACTACTGAAATTGCAGTACCTAAAAGTGGTTACAAGAGTGGAACCAGAAAGACCAAGTAGTGACAGAGCATAAAACTTTGTGGGTAATGGCTATGTCAGTGTAAGAGAAAGAAAAAGCCATCCCTGCCTTCAAGTTACTCATTTTCTACGTCTATCTATGCATCTACCTATCATCTATTCATTCTCTCTGGCACTAATAAGATGATGGAGATTTCACTCTCTGGAAACATAGTTGATTATGTGTATGAAGCACAGGTGCTATTGATTAATATATAAATCTAAGAAGGACCTTGCACACATATGAAAATTAAATCGATGGGTTTTAATGGTATGGCTGAACAGTAAGAAATGGGAGCATTGTAAGGATTTATCCCTGGAATACTCCCAAGGAGCCAACACATCACCAGGTAAAATAAAAAGAACTGTGTGCACACAGTATTCAGACAGATGGAGGGCACTGCTTTTCTTAAAAGGAACAGTTTAGGCATTTCGTGGGAGAAAGCCAATGAGAGAGGATTTAGAGTGATTTGAGGGAAGAGAAGTGAATGCATGTATTTGAGAAGTTTTTCTAGAAAAGAAATTGGTAGTATTTGGAAAAGCGGTTATATGAAACTCTTGTTTTAGAAAATCTATTATAAACACTATGCTAACTTTAAGAGAAAAAATATAATTCTACTCAGGGAATTTGTTTGTTTTCTTACTTGTTTGTTTTTGAAACAGGATCTTCCTATAGCTCCAGCTGGCCTGGAACTCGCTATGTAGACTAGGCTGGCCTCAGTTTCCCAGAGATCCACCTGCCCTACCTCTCAAGAACTGAGATTAAAAGTATACACCACCACACTTGGCCACTCAAGGAACTTTAAATGTTACTCAGATTTACTTCAAAAATTTGATAATTTTAATTATACATACATACGATCATTAGTAATAAAACAAGTTTAACTCTTAAAAAAAGCAAATATTTGTGTTGTTGAAAGTCAAAACGTTTGAGTTAGGAAACTTGGATTCATGCTTTGGTACTGCAATTCAATAAAGCACAAGAGTAGTGCACTTTTGATGGATGTTTTTTTCATGTCCAGGTACTCTTCTTAGTGATTCATCAAATGTTGACTAATTCTCAATAGACCCTTATAAGAGAGGTTCTGTCTTTTGAGACAAGGTCTCATGTGGGTCAGACTGGCTTAGAATTCACTATGTAGCAGAAGATGATCTTGAACTCACGATCCTCCGGCTTATCCTCCCCAGTGCTGAGGTTGCAGGCATGCAGCATGCTGAGGTTGCAGGCATGCAGCACTACACCCAACTCCTGTCCTCTTAAAAGAGAAATTGAGATGCAAAAAACAATTCTCCTTAGTCACATGGATCCTACATGGTAAGGCTGGCCTTTGACTGAATGTTTAATTGTTAGTCTCATGTTTTTCCAGTACAGGATATTTTCTTTGAAGAATATAATAGCATGCTTATATTTCACTTCAAAGAAAAAGTTACTGTGTTTAATTTGTTCATTCCAATACTTATGAGTTTCACTAAGGCTTCAGTAAGGTTTGAAGCCATAACCAACATGATTCCGAGCTTTTGTTGAATTAAATGTGTAAAGTTCAAACAATGTAGTCTTGTGATAGTGAAAAGTAATCTAAAGTATGAATAACCTTTTAATAATATTTGCTCAGTAAGTCATGTTGCAGATAAGCAATCAAGAGTTAGATATCTCGGGGGACCATTTTTCTCCCAGGAATTCCATTCTAAGGCAAAGTTCTGCTTTGAAAATAATCTTGCCTTATCAACAACTTTTACTGTCAGCTGATGTCTCAGCCTGCATTCACTTGCAGATAACATACTTTGAATTTGTCTCTGATTTATGGTATGCCTTTCTTTTCTACATGTAGTTCGTTGCTTCAAAATCAATTAATTTGGTCTATCCTACTTGGGCCTAAATGCCCTCCATCGCATTGCCATTAGTAGACATTACCTTTTGTTACTGAACTTTATGTTACTTTAAGTCATTTTGAGGCATACTTAGAAATATGAAAAACGTTGGAAAAATACTACTTTTTAAAAATATCTTAATTGAATTCATAAAGAATATTTTCATTGCCTGACATATTTATGTCTGTAATTCCAATTAGTTAGGAGGCTGAGGCAAGAAGGTCTCAAGTTTGAGGCCAGGCTGGGAAATTTAGTAAGACCCTCTTTCAGAATAAAATAAAATAAGTGGAAGGGATATGGCTTAGTAATCCAGGGTTCATTCTCTAGAGCCACAAGAAATATAAAGGTCAATCAATCAATCAACCAATCAACTCTTTGCTTTGTATCATCAAGCAGGAAATTGTGTAATCATACTTCCTCTATGTCTGTCCCCACATCTCCACTCCTATACAAATGATTTTTGAGTTACACAAGAAACTCTATCATTTCATAGCTTTTAAGTAATGTCTCTGAATCTCCATATTTTCATCTATGAAATGGGGATGTCAATACTTCCCTTGAAGATAGTGAGGTCTAAAATCAATGTAGGTAAAAATCACTGAGCAGAATACCTAGTAGCTTCCAAAAGAACTTCAAAAACTCTAGTATGTTCATTTCAATTCTATAAGAGTTTGGTATGAATATTATATTATACATAGCTGTTATTGTAACATAGCAGCTTTCTTCAGTAGATTCTCAAGAAATAATAATTTCTCAACTTTCTGTGCACAAATAATGCTATTTTAAATATAGGATAGGAAATATACATATTTGATGTTAATGTGCTTTTAATATAAAAATTTGACTATGATTTGACTATGAATTTGATTATGACTATGATTAATATTTTTCCATTCAGTAAATATGACAGATATATGAAAAAGTATCAGTATGAATGGAATGGAATAGAATTTAAATGAATTGATGGGTATCATCACACAAATAGATATATGAATAAAATCATATTCTAGCAAATCAGCTGGGACTGTTTGGAAACAAGATATGACAAAGTCAGCAGACAATGTTCCTAGAACAATCAGAACAATATATTTGGAAGAAAACCATCTGTCTTAACAGATGAGGTTGAATTTCATGGATCTAGGAATGCCTGGGTTTGAATCTTGTCTTAAGTTTTTTTTTTTTTGAAATTCTGTAGTACTATTTCCTTCATCCTTCCTGAGTCATGATTTATGTCTGACTAATTAATAGGTCAATAAGATTTCAGCTTTACAGTAGTTGATTAACTTTTTAATAGACATCTTGCACTGGAGCAAATAAATAAAATACATATATTATACCAAAGCCAAGCTTAACTTTTGAATATAATATATTTAAATTATTTTCATTATTTGGAGACAACTAATTCTTAACTTCTAGAAATAATTTAAATATATTGCACATTTATCATAGAAATGTAATTGCTTTTCTATTGCTCTTGTTCCTTGATGGATCTACATTTATCTCATCTTTATTTTGGAACTACATTAATGTGTTACTCTTTGCCCCTTAATAGTGGCAATATGCGTATATCAATCATGTATGATCTCATGTAATATATACAAATCAAAGATACAGCCAAGTCAGTACTCATCTACATTATTAATTAGGGACTGTCTTGCCTATCGGAGTGCCTATCTTTTGCTTGAGGACACCCAACATGAAATGGAGAATGGATAATGAACTTAAGATTAAATATTGGCCACCATAACATCAATCCCTGACTACTTGGGCCATAAACCGAAGATAGGAAATTGGGTTACAATACAATAACATCTATGATACAGAAAACCATTTTACTTATAATACGATATATATGATTCTCATCTTCAGTACAGCTAAACAAAATTCTTATCTTCATTTTTCTTTACTTACTCTACAAGTAATGAAAATTAATTATATTAAATTAGATTTAATAATCTAAATGATAAAAATACTGTTTTTCTTTGGATAAAATGCTATAAATAATATTTTCCAATAGCTTTAGTCAAATAAAAAGGAAGAAAATTATAGGTTTTTGAAATTTAAACCATTTATATTTTTAGTTTAAGTTACCTGGCACCATAGCCAGCATTATTTTTTGTTTTTACATGCATTCTGGGGATTGAAGTCAGGTCCTCACATTTGCAAGGCAAGGACTTTACTGACTGAGCCATCTCCCCAGCCCTGCAAGTCTTTTCTAGTGGGAGAAAATGATTGAGATGTTAAACCAAAAGTAATAGAAAGTAGCTATGTTTGATGTCTTCATTCAGTGCTTAGCTTGAAAAATGAAATAAATAATATTTCTAGCAATTAAAAATGTGCTAATGAGTAAACAAAAGTATTTTATTTTGCCAAACTTTAAATAAATAATGTCATGATTTTTTGCATGAAACTTTTCTAGAAAGCCTATTTTTATAATGATTTAAAATAATCATTATCAATACACATTCTGATTTATATAAAATTACCATGACCATATGAATGGGATATTTTTTTCAGGTGTCCTTAGAAAACTCTTTTTTTATATCTTCAAAAATTAGCTCAGTAGCAGAGGAGCTGAAGTAACTCATATAAGAAAAACTGGAATGACTAAATTATATTACTTAAATTTAACAGATTTTCATTCAAAATGAAAAGTTGCCATCAGCATTATTTTAATTTCTTATATTAAGAAGCAAACATGGAGACCAATCCTTAGCATAACTAGCCGTAATTATGAGTTGGACAACATACAAAAGTAGAAACAATTTGTTATTTAAAATAATACATTAGTATGGATTTAAGGCTTAATAATATTCACTCCATTTAATAGTTATAGTGAACATTAGCTAGTTAAAATTTTAATGAATACAAATTAAAACCAATATTTCCTCTTCAAAATACCGAGTAACTCAAATTGCAAAAGACTGGAAAGTTTTTATGGAAACAATTGATGTACTCACATATTCCCCACTAAACATTTTGAAGAGTAGCGAATAAGTTCAGGGTAGATGACGAGAATTTCAGTAAGTGACCCACTGCACAGCAGTGCTTTGCTCTGAGTCAACAAAGAGCTGAATTCACTGAAGTGCCAAGTGTAAATGCGTCTACTTGGTCAACTCAATATCTCAGGCAAGACTACGTAGGGGCAAATCAGGTTCAGCATGACTCATGACACAGTATTTATACTTGGCTATCAATCATAGGTAAATAGGCAGAATTATTGCACAGAACAAATAGAACCACCAGCCCAACCCCTGCTTATGCATTCATTCAAGAAACATATATTAGCCGAATAATGAAAGAAGTGTAACCTTTTGAGAAAGCTGATGACTCATGGAAAAAGTAAGCTGGTTAACCACAGAGTTAATGGTCTGTTTTATGATTAATTATTATTAACACCCAGACTCTTCGAGCTGCTCTAGCCTTAAGTTCATATTTCTTAGTAGCTAAGTTCAATGGGCATCTATGTCATTGTTTAAATATTTCAATTACTGTATAGCTGGTCTTGTTAAAACAAACATATTTAGGACCGAAATGATTATTCAATATATGAAGTCTTTTAAGAAATATACTTATCATTATTTTTCACATATCACTGTAGCATGTATTATTTTCATATTTTGCTTTTTTACATTTAAAGGAAACAAATGTTAAAAATTCTGTAAAATCCAATTTAATACTAGGAAGTATGTATCTTCATAAATTTCCTACATGA